TACACTGATTTCAAAGGGGTTCAGCTCATCTTCGTGTTGAACTGTGGCCAAAATGTTTTATGGTATTCAGTGCATGAGAGGGAAGGCAGCATGGTATAGCCTGATCCTGTGAGATCTTGGGAGCTAAGCAGGGTTGGTGTTTGGCTCGGAGACCACCAGGGAAGATTCTTCATAGGAATGGACTGGCAAACCACCTCTGCTTCTCACTTGCCTTGAAAGCCCCTTGCTGGGATCACCATAAGTTGGTTGTGCCTTGACATATTCAGTGTTTACATTGTTCAGTGGTTTCCAGTCAGTACCAGACAAAAATATAGTACAATCTGTAACCTCATAATGGCCTTGAAGTATTTTATATCAGCAGCCAAGAAGAATTGCATGAAATCTGTGATACATCTAAAATGCGATAGTCTTAAGAACCCCAGTAGAGAAATCTCTAAGATTCATATTGCAGTGCTCCCAACTTCAGTTTTCCACTTTAATTAAACATCATTATAAACATTAGAAAGCTGCCAAGGTCTTTCTTCACAGTACAGCATCATAGTTTTCTGTGAAGAGGTCTTGATATTCCACAGGAACTTTCAATTATTTTATCAGCCCATACTTTGTTATATTTATTCAAAATCCTCCTGGGTTTGTGAGGAAAAGTGAGTCCCCAAAAATGATCTTCTTTTTAATTTTTTTTAAAAAATTGAACAGTTTTTACAACAAAACAAACAACACAATAGTATATCTAACTAGCATAATTATAAACAGTGAGCAAACCCAAGTAACAACAAAAGCCTTATAAAGTTTGCATATACTATGCAAAATGTAGGTAACAAATCTGAGTTAATCCCAACAATTATATCGACCAAATGATCAAACAAGTTTAATATGACTCCTTTTCATACTCAATATATTCAAACAAGTTTAATATGACTCCTTTTCATACTCAATATATTCACCCTCTAAGTATTTGAAGGCCTACAGCAATTATCTTCTAACTAATTGGGAAATCACCTTGCCCTTTTTCGTTTAACTTTTTCTCCTTTTTAGGTTACGTGTGGAGAGGTGGCCACTAATTCACAGGTAAAGGGAGTTTCGTGATTATTTATTTTAATGCATGCTAGTCCTTATGAATGCTCTTCTACATAGTACGCATTGAGGAGAGAGGGGTATAGAGAGTACATCTAAAAATTGCCAATTTAAGCCGATCACTCCTGAGACTTGTACTATAAAGCTGCTTTACATTTTTAATACACCTATTCTGTTTGAAATGGTGTATAGTAAGCATGTTTTCTGGCACACAAGTAACATGGAGGAGTATTCTTATCATATCTTAAAATGAAATCAAAAGGAAGTCCTAAAAACCAGAGTTTTTTGTCGAATTACCACAGTTCAGTCCTTTGGAATTTGTCTTTGTTGTTCATCTGGATGAATAGAAATTCCTGTTAACAGAAGATGTGGCCTGGACTCACCCTGATACTGCTTTTGTGGGCTCCAGGGAGGCAGCAGGGGCAGGCATGCATCTGGTGATCTGTGGACCACATGGCCGGCTGGGGGTGGGCTCCAGCATGGGCAGCCAGACACCCTTTATGTGGATGAACACCAGGTGGACAGGAAGATGTACAGACCTGGGGGCCTTACCTGCCTGCCCCTCCTCTATTTAGGTGGGCACCGCCCGAGCCTTTGCCTCGGTTCTCCGTGGCTTTCCCAGCCACTCACCCACCCCTATGAGTCAGTTGTAATAAGTTTATATTGTGGGGATTTCATGACCGTCACAGCCAATGCTCTTTCTAAGCTGTGGAGTCTAATGAGCAAAAATTCTACTTTGTGAGCTACTGGCATTAAAGCTGTGAGCAAACTATTTGGCTACTGCATAGATTAGTTTGCTCTGGAGTCATCCTTCCTGAGCTAAGACAAAAATCAGTGAGCCAGAGGCTAAAAAACTGTGAGCTCATCTTAGAGGGAACATTGGTCACAGCTTTGGGTTATTTGGGCATGAGATGGATCCTTTGGGCTAGGGAGATGATGCCTGCATGCCCACATCCCACGGTTCAGGGAGTCTTGAGGAAGAGCCAATTCAGCAGCATACTCAGCTTGGGGGCTGTCAGAGGGACTCTCAACACCAGGTGGCAAGGGAACCATGCAGCATCCGGTGCTCATGTGGCTCCCTGGGCTTTGCCACTCCTCAGTAGCACCACAGCAGGCAGGCTGGGGGTGTGAGGTTCATCAGGAGACAATAAGGTCACCCGATTCTAGATCCATCCCTATGCTGTGCCAATGCTCCTACAGTGTAATTAATCCCCAAATCACTGTGTCTGTATCAGTTCTTCACTTGTGATCCCCTCCATGCCCCTGGGCCCACAACAGAAATTCCAAACAGAGGATCATTATGCTAACATGCCTTCTCTTGGATGAGCATAAAAACAGTGTTGCCTATCATGCTGCATTTGTTGCAATGCTGTTCCACAGGGATGTCTGATTTCTGGATCATCTCAGCAGTGTTAGTTGGGTCCAACTCTCAAAGATAGTAGGGGCTACAGGGGAAAATACAGACTTGGGGAAAGTATCATAAAGAATCTCAAATTTGCATATTAAAGCCATCCATCCAGATGACTTTACTACATTTCAGTGAGTACTTGAGAAGTGACAATCACTTCTGTTGCCGAATCTGTGTGGGAAAATGGTAACCTTCGAAATACTAATATATGGATTTCACTTGTGCTGTCATCTGTATTCTAAGGACCCTAGCTCATACTTTTGTGTATAGAATAATTTCAGACTGCCTTTCCATACAATATAGGCTCAGGACAGTATCGTCTATGCAAAGTCTCTGGTTATTAGTGTATTTGTCACAGTTCGAATCACCTCTATTATGCTGTGTTTAAATTCATAATATGCATGCTATTTTACCAAGTGGGGAAAAAAATGAAATTTATTTATAGGCATCTCTTATGTCAAGATGCAATAATACTGCATGTTGAAATGAAAGTGTTAGCAAACCACCTGGAGTTTGTTGAATAAGTGCAATCGTACAGTGCACCCCTAAGCAGAGCTGCACCCTTCTAAACCCAGTGATTTCAATTGATTTAAGGAGTGTAATTCTGTTTAGGATTACATTGTGAAAGTCATACATAATGTTAGGCTCGACTAGATATTTGAGGGACATCTTGTCAGAGCCCTGAAGGACATTTGGATTTAAAAAAAAAAGATTTAGAAGGTTCACAGGTACCTTAGCAGTCAGACTTTGACTCATTTGGCAATAATGAATGGGATTATATGCCAGATAACTTTTGCAATGGTAAAAGGAAATTTAGTTACAGTGTTGTTTCCTTATTTCTTTCCAGCTGTGAACATGTGGTCAGTCTTTGTGTGGACAAAAAGGAGAAATTTTAATGGCATTTCATGTTCAATTGGCATCTTATGCAAATTCTCCTGCATGCTTTTAATATTAATGCAAAATTTAGAAATATGCCTAGGGTTTCCCAAGAATAAATATTTCTTATGTTTTCTTCTAACCCATAATTGTGACCCAAGTGATAGACTGCAGTAGTTGGTAGCAACTGTCAAGTATGCCTCAAACTAGTGGTCATTATCCTTTGGAACAGGATTTAAATGCACAGAGGGAGGTACAGGAAAGAACTAGGAGACAGCCTGAGCTGAGGAGACAGAATGATCCTAAACAGATCTACTCAGATCCTACTTACACCTATTCACTGGGGCTTACTTCCAAAGAAGCATTCAGTGGAGTAGGTGACTACTCTGTATATATCTCTTGGCTGACCCTCTACTGAACTTAGAAGCCTATTTGAATGGGAACTATGCATGTTCACTATATATACACAGACCTCTCAGCCAAGAACAGTGAGTGATATTTGAGAACAAACATCCAAGTCTTATTATGTGAATACTAATAATCTATCAGTGAATACTATAAAAATCCGATTATTAAAAAATAACTTGCAGAGAAGCCACTAGTGGTTCCAAAGCTTGAGTTAGTTTTCAGCACACAGTGTGAATTTCACTTTTGTTTTGAGATTTCCAGAGCTTCATTAGTAGTGAACTGAGAATACACGTAGTGAATAATACCGTCGCTTTTTTTGAGGAGGAGAAGTGGTGGTGGGGAACGCTGCATATACAAATGTGGGAAAACGACTATCAAAGGATTCACAAATACCACACAGGAGAACATGCACTTTCATCCACCTGAATGTTTGCAAACCCTTATGTTTATATATGTCTAAAAATAAATATTCAATTCATCCTCATATGACTTTTTTGAAATGGGCTTGCTTCACAGAAATACTAATCTTGTCAGTAATCTTTTATTTGCACTACATTCTATTAGACTGTCTACTCTATCATTATGTGAGTTGGGGCTAGAGAACTGTGAAAAGAATGGCTTTTTCCTTTCTCTCCCCTGGGTCCTTCTGCAGCTCCACTGCATCACATGAAAAGCTACTCCCGAGGTTTGGAGGAGCCTCAAACACAGTTTGGAGGAAAATCTGTGAAAATCACGGTCCTCTTCTTGCATGACTGGAAGTACTTTCTAGTCACGCAAGGACTATATTGTAGCATATTCATGAGTAATGTTTAATTTTTCCAATATTGATGCTCTGGTATTTGCATGTTACAATATTGGAGGGTTGTCAGTAAGAAATAATAGATCCTACAGGATGTTCCCTAGTAGTATGTATCTTACAATTAATCATCTGTGGCTCAGTGGGAGAGCGTCTGGTTCAGTCCCCAATATCTCCAGTTAAAAGGGTCATAGAGTAGGTTATGTGACTTGGTGGATCCAAGTCTATGTCTGATATCTTAAAAGATGATTAAATATCTTTTCTAAAGGTGATGTGCAAACTGGTGCTTTTTCCACCAATTCTGGTGGGTATTCAGTTTCCAGGGAAAGGTGATTATGATATACCTATTTAAATAATCTCTCTCTGTGTCACACATACACACATTCATATTCTGCAAAAAAAAAATCATGTTGTTGTTGTTCTTACATTTTATTAAAGCACCAAGACAACGCCCTGTGAACATTGCATGGAAATTATCAGATTCAAAGATATGCTTGAACTGGGAACACGTGAAAACAATGGAAAATGAATCTGAGGTGCTTGGCTACAAAGTAAGTATGTGAAAGTGTCAGAGAGCCATAGTGAATGCCATGTCCGTGTGATTGTGTTTGAAGTATTCAAGTTTTTACTCTGATCTAAATGACAGTCACACATTCCTTCCGTTTGTTCACTAAATGGTCTGCATTGATGTTCAGAGCACGTAGAATGTTTGTTGGATGGTTGGATAATAAAAGTGGACTGCTTGATATCCCAGAGAACCCAGATAAGTAACTTCTTTGTCAATGCATAAATCTGTCTCCACATCAAGCATTAGCGGTGAAAGTAAATTTATTGATGAACCTTATGTGGATAATGTTCCCACAAATCTATTATGTTAAAAAGGCAAATATTGCTCAAAGAGCTATGCTTGCAGATCTTGATCACAAAGGGGCTAAGCATTTGCAGTTTCCTTTGGGGAAAGAATGATTTTCCTCTCCATCATATAACAGACAGGCTCTAGGCTGCTGAGCTCTCTTACTGAGATGGTTAAACAGTTCCTCAAATTAGGGTGGGATGGCATCTCTTGCTTCTTGCTACTCCTGGGCACAATCTGCGCCAAAAGTGCTGGGGAGCATCATGTGTGGAGAATCTGCCCCATCCCCTTATCACCTTAACCACTTTTATATCATTGTAGGCTTTTCTCTGTGAGTTCAGCAGTAATGAGAACAAAACACATACTAAGAATCTGCCCCCATTTACCCAAAAAAGCTAAAGAACATATGCAGTGCAATATCTGGGAGACTCCAAATCCCTACATGTAATTTTGCTGCCTCTCATCTGTTTCTGATCATGTTACAGAGATCATTCAACCAAGAATTGTCAGTGATGGGATGCATTTGGAATTGGGGGGAGTTCAGAATCTCCCTATTATGAACTTGTCCCAAACATCTGCCAGTTTGGGGTGGCCCATAAAAGAGCTCATTGTAACCATTAAACCATTCCTTTTTTTTCTGCCATCCCCTTCTCAATGAAAAGATGGGCATCTTGTTAAATTTTCCCTAATTCAAAGTTATATTTTAGAGTTTGCTCAAGAGCACTCTATTCCAATCCCACATTCACTGTCAGAAATTACTCTTCAGGAACGTCATTTTTTTCTAGTCGATTTGTGTTTAACTTAAAGGTGAAAATTCATAAAGGAACCTTTCCAAATTTCTCATATCTTTAAAAAAAATCCTCCCTGCTACCGGTTATCCCTTCCCCTTGCTAAGAGTGGGGGTTTTATTAGGGGGCAGAGTTAATGGGAATGGGAAGGGCTTGACAGTTAGGAAGGGTGTGTGTGTGTGTGTGTGTGTGTGTGTGTGTGTGTGTGTGTGTGTGTGTTGGGCTTTCTCAGAAGAAGTGCAGCACACTCTGGACTTATTTGTGAGGTTTTTTTCTGGGAAATACTAGATAAGAAACTTGGTATGAGGTGAGTCAGGGGAAAATTTGCCAGTCATTCTAATTTGAAAAGCAAAAAGGACTTCTGCTGCAGCTTTTAAAAATACACAGAGAACAAACAGTTGTTTGGTACACTGCATTATACTCCTGAAAGCTATGGGACTGAGTTCCTCAGTGAAGTCCACCGCAAATTGGATTGCAGATTTCAGTGCCAACTGGATGGAATAGGTCTCAGGCATGCCTTAACTCCATATATGTGCAAATAATAGTCTAGAAGTCATAGCTTGGATTCTGTACCTATGTACACTTGTCTTCAGGTTCTGTGGACGATTCCTATGGCATTAGGCACTTCCAATATTTTACAGGGAGCCCTAAACTGCTTATTGTGTGGTACATGCTCGGCAGCAGAGGACTGCCTCTACAGGACTAAGAGAGAAGAGCACATTGTGCAAAGGTATGGGATCCAAGCCCATATATTGAGTAGTGCTGTAGTTTTATACTTTATGCTTAATCTGCCAGAATGTGAATAACAGACAGGCATTTACACACCCAACCTCTGCAGGGTATGTCTCCATAAATAATGCTTGTAATCAACTGGAGCAGTCTATGTTTTTGTGAATTAGTTCACAAGGGGCTTGACAATACAGTGAAGATCTATTTTATTTATTATTTATTTTTATTTATTTAAAGCATTTTTATTGCTCTTTTCCACCTAATTAGAGCCCTCAATGCAGTGAACAGTTAAAAACACATTAAAAGCCCAGTATGTAATGTTGGACTACAAATTCAAGTAACAGCATTGTAATAAAGTCACCCTTTCTCTCCTTTCATATTTAGATTCTGTATAGGCAAAATCGACAAAGTGCTACTCATATAGTGGAGACAAACAACACATCAGCTGAGCTGCTGATACCCTTTGAAGAAGATTATCTCATCGAAATCAGAACCATCAGTGATGGAGGAGAAGGTAGCAGCAGTGAGGAAATTAGGATTCCTGCAATGTCAAGTGAGCTTTCCCCTTCCCTTGAAGGTTTTTGCTATGGTCTCTAGATTGCTAGGAACAAAAAGCCAGAAAGACTTGGGAACAGTCTCTGCCCGGGAAAGGGAACATCAATTAAAAATATTCAGTGGGTTTTTCAAGGGGAGGGAATCAGTGGTTTGCTGATGTAACTGAACCTTGCAGCTGTGCAAACTGTGTGGAAATCCGATACTGAGCTGAATAGAAATCAATGAGGCTTCAGCATAATCGTCATCGTTATCTACTATTTTAAAACTGCCTAAAATATACCAAGCTGAGTGTGCCCACAGGCTCAGTGTCCAGTTATTATATGAGAGAGAAAGGAGTGGGAAATAGAAGGAAGGAGAGCTGGCTTGTTAGGTACTGGACAAAGCAAAAGAGTGATTGGTAGATGCACATCAGCCAATTTTTCTTCACTGTTATGGTCAAATGAATTTACAAACTAACTCACTGGAAAGTAAGCATTGTTTTGGGGTGATACAAAACTTCTACTGCAGAAATTCAAAACTTCTACTGCAGAAATTCAGTTTATGATGGACCTAATAACACACACAAATCACTGTGTGATATTTAAGCCATAAACAAGCAGTTCTGAAATAGCTCTTCAGAGGTCGGCCTGGAGCAATAAAAGGAAGAAGAGATAAAAGAAAAGATAACATGGAGAGCAAAATGAAGAAGTTGGGATCTTTTTTGCAACCATATTTAAAATGAGATAAACAGGGATGGAACCAATATAGAAAAGGGCAGATTCAATGCTTCCCCTTGTAGAGAACATATTGTAGGCAAGCTTAAGACACATAAGACACAAGCTTAAGACACATAAGACACATGGAGACTTCCCAAGACTAATAATAAACAAACAAAGCAAGAAAGATTGGGAAAGGGAAGGATAGCATATGGGAACAACAGTGCTTACATAGGTAGAGGAGGAGAAAGCTATTTCTGCCAGTTTTATCCCCCCCCAACTACAGATTCCCCCACTTTGCCTCTAATGCTATTTCAGAGATTCTCTTAACCCAAATGTGTGTGGGCACACATTTGGACGGCATTACACCAATTGCACTGGCTACTGATTGAGTACTGGATCCGCTTCAAGGTACAGGTATTGATCTTCAAAGCCTTGTGCCACCTGGGGCGGACATACCTCAAGGACCACCTCTCCCCATATATGCCCCGGAGAGCCTTACGATCTGCTGATCAAGATCTGCTGGTTATCCTTGGCCCAAGGAATGTCTGTTTAGCCTTGACCAGGACCAGGGCTTTCTCTGTCCTGGCCTGGTGGAACATGCTCCCATGTGAGATCAGGGCCCTGCAAGACCTCCTATCATTCCGCAGGGCCTGTGAAACGGAGCTGTTCTCCGAAGCCTTTGGTTGAGGCAGCAGGCATCCAGAAAAACAGTCCACCTCCTCTGCTGAAAACACTATTCTTATGTGGCCCAGATTAAACAAACGTAGAATCCAGAGGCACCAATATCAGAGACTGTGCAATAATTCGTGTGATCTGTTTTTAAATTCTTTGTTTTAATGTTTTAATGAACTATTATTGCCTTTTGTGATGCTGAATGGCCTAATTATTTGATGTGATCTGCCATGAGCCCGTTCGTGGGGAGGGTGGAATATAAATTGGAAAATTAAATAAATAAATAAATTAAGATGCTGGGTTTTTTTGGGGGGGGTGTTCAGTGTCCTGAAACAGGAGAAAGGAGATGGCAAAGTCCCACTCTTCCAGTTTCACTGTGCAGGTGGTGCTTTGATTCCAACTCATGGAATGTTTGACGTAGTTCAAAACTGTAGTAATACAGTTTGGTTTTAAAGGCGGGAGGGAGACAGGAGAGATGTTACTGGGCAGGCAATGTTGTTCATGGACCAGCTTCTACCTTTTCCTGTTTTAGAGATTCCTTGCATGTTTCAGTGGTACTCTACGGAGGTTTAACTAACACTGGACTGCAGTGGTGATGGCTGCTGTCTCTGCATAGTGGCCGAATGCTGAATAGAAGCAAAGTGATTAGGGGTTATTAGAACTGGGAGCCTAGCACTATCTTCACAGCTATGCCTAGCATCAGGCTGTTATGCCAGTGTTCTTCCATCACCCAAAATCTATTCACACCATTTTAACTGGACTGTAAGACGTTATTCTCAAGTGCTAAATGAATATAAGTATGTATTTGTAAAACTCTTGAACAGCAATGCAATAAATAGAATTGTCCAGGGGCCAAGGATGGTCTTGAAATGCTGAGCTCCTTGAATCACACTCAGCTATTCAGCTGAAGTTATTTGCTAGGACTAGATTCTCACTTTCTTAAACATAATATCAATCTAAGTGGGCCAAAACCCAGCCAATGGAAAAACAGGGCACCTTCAATTTATGACAATCAGTTCTGTGTGAAATTGAGTACTCTTCTCTGTTTTTGTAGGCTTAAGCTCCAGAGGGACTCACATCTGCCACCCTGCAGACCATAGAATGGCATCTAAGATCATGCTTATGGGCTATATTCTCTGCTCTTCTGTTTTTTCTTGAATGAAGCCATTGGACTTTTGAAAACAAGTCAGCCACTTGGTTGTTGCTATTTTCTTGAGACTTCTGCTACATCCAGCATTCCTGAAAATAAAACCTATGGGGGGGATAATGAACTATCTATTAAAAATGTAAATATCATTAATATAATATACTACCAAAAATGAGTGTTTGGGATCTCCCTGAATGAAACAGAAGGGTGCCAAAGTATATCCATATGATTGTAAAATGGGAAAGTTCATTGCAATTGGTGACCTACTGTTAAAATCTAACTTATCCATATGTGCAGCAAACATAAGATATCAAGCAAAAATCCCAGTGGCCCAGTGTTGTGATGTACAACATTTTCTAATATTCGTTTCTCATTTTGATCTGTGATGGTACAATATTTATTGCATTTCCGAATTCAATAAAACAATGCCTTATAATTTTCCCTCTATAAACTCACTAGCATCTGAAAAGGTATTCAGCATCTGCCATGCTATGTTTTGCACTGAATATTTCCATGAATGACCAATGAAATTTTTAACTTTCGTGTTGCCATATATGTATGCCCAGCATATCATTTTATATACATGTTTTTCTTTAGATTTTGGATTTATGCAACCAATCCATCAAACCACTTGTCAGTAATATATGAGCTCCACTGCTGAACATGCTCAGTGTGAAATGTGGGTATGTTCAGAAGATTGTCAAAGAGCACATACTATGGCAAAGTCATAAGAATGCTATTACATGGAGTTGATCTTGGGGGGGGTGTGGGAGGTCTGTGGTATTTGAATTGATTAGAAAAAAAAGTAGGCACTCAAAATTATACCAAAGCTGACAAAGCACAATACAGAGCTTGTTTGAAGGACAACACTACACTGTAATAATTATAAATAGGTCAGAACTAACCAGCTTGCTGTAATATGTTATTTTAACAGCACAATTGTTGTTCTTTGGACCATGGAGAAGCCACAGTTAGAGCATAACACAAGCCAAAGAGTCATTGGATTGTAGTTTGTATAGCTCTCAGATGTTGCCTTGGATGTTCAGGGAAGTGCAGTAAACCATATGTAAGTCATACTTTATCTGGGTACATCCCAGTGCAATTCTAAACAGAATTACACCCTTTTAAACTCATTGCACTGCAAGAGTTCTAGGGAAGAGCAGGGTGGGATTCTAGATCACAAAGTATTAATGTTCTTCTGAGAAGAACTTCCAGTGGAAGGAGGTACTGATATTACTCTTCTTTGACCACCAACTGATGACCCAGTTCCATTGATTCCATGTCTAAACCACAAATTATAACTTGTACAGTTGTATGCCATCTTTCTACCCAATTCAGGATCCCCAAAGCAATGAATATTAAAACATAAAAACATTTCAAAAATTTAATCATTGAAAAGCATTTAAAATATGAATATGTATAAAATATTTAACTTTACATTGATATATCAGGAAGGAGCAAGCAAATAATTATGTCACATATTGAAGTGAGTCAGTAGTGTACAGAACTCAACCACTCTAAGCCTCACCAGATAGCTGTTGAAATAAACTATTCATTTCCATCCTCGTTTTGGCACACAGAAATCTGATTAAACCTCTTGACCTATTGAGTTAGTAATCCAGACCTTGAATTAATGGATATATAAAATTCCTTCAACATAAAACTAGATTTACGAACGGCTCATTCTTCTGTCATTCACTGGGATATATCATCTCAACTACATCACCTCCAGCATTGACTATAAGCTGTCAAAGGAATTAGCAGAAATGTGCAAATAGTAAAGAGGATGATTAAAACAATCCCAGGTGCTTTCAAAGCATGGTGGGAGCTTTGTTTCTGACCACTGCATCACAGTTCACCAGCAAGGCAGGAGCTTGGGAGAATGTGACCCATCTGCTTAAAACTGACAGCTAACAAACTTCTTATAATAGGGCCAAGAAATGCTGAAGGAAAGTGAATCTGACATTCTGGAGAAGGGAAGTAGAGCAGTAAAGCTCTCTCATGTCTTGACTGTAAAAGGAACCAAAAAATATCTTTCTCTCCAAAGGGCTCTATATGAACATAACATGCTGTGGGCATCCACAGGTCCAGAGTTCTGATGCATGAATGCTGACACCATTTTAGAGCTAAACTCAGCCATTTAAAAATGCTGTGAGGCCCCATTCCTGATGGGGCCCAGAGCCTGGTGGGACTAGGCAATCTTGTTCTCCTTCCCACACACACCTTTTCGAGTGCTGAATCAGCTGACTCGGGGAAGGGGAAGGGGAATGAGTTTGTAAGCTGCTCTGAGACATTTTTGGGTAGTGAAGGGTGGGGTATAAATCCAATCTCTTCTTCTTTCTGACTTTTCCCAAGGGAATTAAAATGGAGGCAGGAAGGGATGGAGAGAAGGGAAGGGGTCTGTTTCCCATCTGGCTGGTGGGGTATCCTCGCTCAATCCCCTTTACAGTTTAAAGGGCCATTCTTTTCCATGGAAAGTACTGAAGCCAGGTCTACCCACTTAGAAAACGATGGCCCTTTAATATGCAAAGTTGGAGGCCCTGCCAACCATTGAAATATTGGCTCCTTAAATGTTGAAGGGTCATTATTTCCTATAGGGTTAGCCAGTTCTACCAACTGGGAAAGCCCTGCTTTTAGTTGCACCCTCTTGACTTCTGATCATAGAAGCATGCAGGGCCTCTGTAGAAGAGCTCAACTGATGAGAGAGTAGGTGATCTTTCATATCTCCTGGCTTCATATTATATAGGGCTTTAAACAAAATAACTAGAAGTCTGAGTGTATGATTTAAAAAGGCCGGTTCACTCTCCGCCCCTCTCATCTGAAATAATGAAACAATATTCAGCAATTTCCTGAGAAAGACTAGAATACGTGCAGAGCACCAAAAGTCTTCTGAATGCTGTTTAGAGTTAGTGAATATTTTATGACAGTTGACATTTGAAAAACGGAGATATGCTAAATGGATCCTATCAAATTTGAATAGTTAGTGTCAGTGCTTATGCCTGGCAATTTATAGACAACAGCAGGCAAGTTACGATTCACACCACAGCTTCATCTGCTAATAGCAGTTTCAGGCTTCTTTAATCTGAATGTGTCACAAAGTATCAGGAAAACATATAGGGAAACTGTGTTAAGGTGAAAAATCTACACACCTGGTTGTTAGATTTTTTTATATTTTTTTAAACGACAGTATTCTAAAGTTTGGCTAAACTTAGAATCAGGCATGCTGCTCTCTAAGTTACTGTTCTCTGTGAGTTACTGTTTCTTGTTTTTACTGCAGCAGAGGAAAAGCAAATGTAATGTGCTGTCAGGATGAAGAAAGTCTACTTTAACAAGTTGAGAAGATCTTGTTGACTCAGACTGCAGGCCTCCACTATTCATTGGGATGCATCCAACAGTAAATTCCATTGGTGGAAGGGATAGCCATCAGCAGAAAGAGGTGTTCTTGTCTCCCTCATTCTGCAGCAGCCTAAAATGGGCAATCAGGACCCCCAGGAAAAGCATAAGGGGAAAGTTAGAGGTCTTAAGTGAAAGGACTAACCAGTGAAAATCACTCTGCTTCTATTACTGCTAAATCCATCCTTATTTCAAACAGCAAGTATGGGAGTTGCATGTTTGAATGAGTCACAGTGGGGGGGAAACTAGAAAAACAGTATTCGAAGTATGGTCAAGTTAGAGCACATCACACGGTCTGTCCCATGACATCTATTGGTAAGCTTATTTTTTAAAAAACTGGGAGATGTTTCAAAGAGAAGTTCTGGACTTTTTCTTAAGTGATATGGTCCAGGTTTACCATATGATCTGCTATTTGTCTAGACTCTTTCTTAAAAAAACATGCATGGGAGAATTACAGATAGATCAGTTAGATCTCATGACAGTACTGTATTGACATCAAAATCAAATCCATTTGAATGTTAAAGAAATGAAATATTGAGACCTCTATCTTCAGTGGCCAGCTAACACACAACTATGTGCTAACACAAGTAAATAAAAAGTTGACACCTTTTATTACACTACCTAGAGTCCACCAGCTGTCCATTATCAAAAGACTCCTCTCCACTCACCCAAATCCTTACTTTCCTTCAGAGAACTTTTAACCTCATTATCCCCAAAAATAATGAGAGGATAAAATGATGTCCTGTGTGTTTTGAAGTGTCTAGCGAGCTTGCTTGGGAAATGGCAATGGTAGCATGGAACACCTGCCCACTATAGAACTAAACCCACTGAATCTTTTCAACCAGGATTCTACTCAGTATCAGAAAAGATTATTTAACTAAAAAGAAAGCATTGAAAGTGAGTTCATAACTCTTTCTTTGGATCCCCCTAATGCTAATCCCATAAACCATTCATTGACTGCAAATAAACAGTATTTAAATCCTCCTTCTCAATTGCAAGTTATAATCCTTTTCAATGTGGATGCAGAACCTGTAGACAGAGGACTCCATGGGGATCAAGAAAGTCCTGTTTCCTCCTTGGCACACCTACACACAAATTCCAGAGAATGAGGGGAATATACCCAACCAGATCTCCCTATCTGCTTGGTCAAGACATAGCAGATTCAGCATAACCAACATCATGTATTTCTATCAATAAATTTTTGAATGTCTTGATTTAGTAATTTCACCTGCTTCTTTCCCATTCAGGTTTTTTTTTTAATGGAATGCAATGGGAAATGACTTTATATATTTAGAATGAGTCTTACTTTTGATTTAAATATGTGGATTTATCATCAGGAATTATCTTGATTAATTGCCCTTACTAGAAACAAATTCCTCCTTATCAAATTGATGGTATCAGACCATAATAATATCTACTTTCCTTTTTAATTAAAGTGTTGTTTTGAAGAGCTACAAGGAATAAACCATAAATACTTTTGTTACTTTCTTCCTCTGTGCCTCAGGTAAAGGATAAAAGAAGGGCTGCTGAAGAAACAGCTAGAATGACAGGTGTGAGGCAGAAAAAAATAATAGATCATGACAGGACATACACCATTTGTTCTCCAGTTGGGCCTATC